AAGAAATCTTTTGGTACGGTACACAAACACAAGTAACCAAATAGTATAAACAAAATAAAATCTCCAACAAAACAACATGTAAAGCGACGCATCAAAGTTTTAAAATTCTGACAGCATAGAAGAAAATGACAATTACCTTTGTGAATTATACGAATATCCTTCACTCGAAATCCCTGACGCGCTGTGAGTGCCATTAGCTGAAAATTATGAAAAACACATCGACTTCAAAGATAAGATCAAATTTAAAAAAAACTGAAGAATTCAAACAAACTTTCTTGTTATATTTTGTTATAAAAACAGTACAAAAATCAGGTTCTTACAATTTGTCAATGGTTTCAACATCAACAGGTGATAATAACTCGCAAAATTAATCATTTATCAAAAAAAATTGCTAAATAGACCGACACATACATATAGTAAAAGTAAATGGAGCAAACCTAACTGCTGATATCGGTGCTTATGAAAGAACTACAAAAATAATAATGGGATAAAAACTTATAATAAAAGAAATGAAAGCTTACAGCATCTCGCTGCGAATCGGTCGGTAACATTTTCATGACGATTTTGTAATGTGGTTGTCCATAAAGCGCTGTATGTGATGCATATTTATCAGTTTGTGACTGGGCTTGCATGGAAGACAAATAGGGCAGTGCGCTTGAAAATTCTCTTGACTCCTAAACGGCTACAATTTCGCGTGTCCAAATAGCATCACCACTTTTTTCGAGTATAATTCACGCAAATGAAGCGTAATTTAAGTGATCACGTGAAGCATATTTAATTAAAGTTGTTGGATGTTGAAAGACCTCTCTGTCCCTATCGATTGAACGACGCCTTCGGTCAAAATCCTGACGCGGCGAACGATCATGGCTACTACGGCTACAACTGCGGCTACGACTACGGCTTCTTCCGGAAGATCGCGATCTTGAATAACGGTTCCGGCCTGCAGAAATTTATGTCTAAATTTGTTTGAATTTATAACTAAGACTTATATTACATAGAAAAATGTAAAACGAGAGATAACAAAAATCAAAACATAGTATTACTTACGTCGCCGATCTCTGGACCACGATCGAGATCTGGAACGGCCTCTTGAACCGCTTCGTCGATATCTGTCATTACGCCTGCAATCGATCTTACTTCTAAAGAAAGAAGTTTATTAGTTATAACTAGTTATAACTAGAAGCCAAACTAGAAAATACTATCTCATGTTCACTAATGATAGATGACAAAGAAATTCATTTAATTCGATTCTGCTAAAGATATTGCTTATAATTAGTCAAGGTTATTTATCTCCCATCCAAAACTTACACTCGCCCGTTCTACAAGTCGTTAAACCGAAGTTTGGAATTTTTCTTCCTTCCTCCTTAGTCAAAAAAAACTTCTAAATATAGCCATAAACTGATAATAAAAACAAAATTTAATCACATACCTTTCATTATCATAACTACCACAACGATCGCCATCACCACTGTAAACAAACGGAAGCATACTTTTTGATATAAGTCTTTTCTCGAATTCCTCTATAAATCACACCCATTTTTGTCACATCAGTAGCGAAACATAATGCACGGAACAATTTATTGTAACAAAATATTGTCAGGCTATTATTCTCAATCAATCCTACCTAATCTTAGACAAGGTAATACTTGTCTAATTTTGACTTTTATCATTTATTTTCTGTTACTTTCAGTAATACCACTATTGTGCTAACAATAATTCATCAACTTCCATTACTTAAACATATAGCTATAATCCACCGCAACACCAAGGCATCAATATCACTGCTAACACCATGATAATGTATTTATCCAACAGTTAGATTTCTCCACAACTACTCCTACTACAACGACATCATCGGCCCATCGCAACAGCACTATCATCACAGCAACATCCAACAGCGTAACGACTATCCATTTACTCCAAAGCTAACCTAATCGATCATACAATTTAATGCGGCCCGTGGACATAATGAGGAGCTTTTTGCTATAATCGGAGCATTCTTGCGACATTCAGATGTGATTTCTTGTAGAATATCTTATGATATGCTCTGTTCAAACCGAGCGGAACTTCCTTTGATTATTTCTTGCATTCTCATTCTTCGATAACGTTCCATTCACATTGGGATAATTCCATACTGCATTTAATAAACTCACTGATTATCCAAATTCATCTATTCATTTAGTTTCCGAAATATTATCGATACCGCCTGTGCTTTCCCACTAATGTCTCCAAAGATGTCAACGATATAAACCATTAAAGTGCTCTGTTTAATTCACCTGCTCGATATATTAGTTATGAATGGCTCTTCTATAATGTTGACAATGAAATAGTTTTCACGATGCTGGTAATGAAATAATCCCTTATCATCTTTACATCAACATGAGACACTTTGATCATTTTGTGCGATAAACTACTATGATGTTTTTTGAAAACAAATTCCGAACACTTTAAAAATAACTCTAAAGTAGATTACGCCACCCATTCATCACAAAATCATTACTGATTCAAATTTCGAAAATTATAGATCTCGAAACTGAATGACAGTTGAATGATGATGGTTCCACTCATAATGAAATACTCGATAGAGTGATGACATTCTTTTCAGATAAAAGAAAATTTTTCCCTAATTAAAAAAAATCCAATTGTAAATTAGTTTTTCGTAATCTTTGTTATTCAACATTTTTAAAATCTAGGGAATAAATTCCAACACGTATCTAACGTAAATAAACGCTACGTAGACGTGACATTTCCCCAACTTCCAACTTAAAACCTAAAAGTCTGAGCATCTTATCAACACCAAAATTTGGTAATTTTGAGCCATTCTATATGCAAATTATCTATAGCTCAGCTGAACTTTTCAGATGACAGGGTTGTTTCTTTTGCATTCAGTTCTGAAAATCTGACTGTGAGGGCTGCGTTTTCTCGTTTGTTATCGATGGTTGGATTCTTGTTCCCGGTGTCTTCCGTATAGTTCACTGGAATAAAGAAGATTGGTCTCTCAGGGTGTTTTTTCAAGCACAACTAGGTGTTGAATAGTTTAGCCGTTAATAGGGTTATTTAGAAAATTCATTGCTTTCTATATTTTGGACTCCAGCATTGTGATCTTATTTGGTTATTCGGATGGTTTGTGGATGTTTAATATGGTTCTTCCAATTTCAATTCCCATAACTGAAGAAACTTCGACGAGATGAATACTCCTTGAATTGCAGCTGTCTTTATATTAAATGATTTGTTGTTGGACCGTGAGACCTTTACCACTTATGTAGTCGACATTTTGTTCAGGCATTATTTCAGGCGATCTCTGGTTAGTTTAGCAGCTCTCTCATCTCGTCAAAATATACTTTTTTTGTCCTTTATAGTCTCCAAGGAAAGGATATATATATAAACGATTCGTAAATTTAGTGCACTCGTAAGCTCTGTGGGTCCACTATTTTCGTTTTGTAGTTCCAAAAAAAGAAAGAGGAATACAAAAAATAGAAAGCAGGAAAAGATAGACTGCTCTGCAATAGCAGAACTATTCAGATTGAATGAAAAGTGCAACTCAGCGAAGCATTCCGAGTAACAAAAGCAGGCAGAAATTGTTGAAATGATAAATAGGATGTATTCTTAGATATGTTTAGAAAAGTGGAAAATTTATTTATTTAATAATCATCTTGCTTTGCTTCCTCCCATTGCACACTTTTGCAAAAGGTTTTGCTTATTATATTGCAGTTCTGTCCTTTGGTGAGAAAATTTGATGCACTGGGAATTTGATATTCTGAGATATACTATACATTTTCTGTAGTTAGTCGAGATGTTTTCTATTATGCTGATTTGGTAGTTGTGGTATGGTAGTTATCTAAATTTGGATTGTGATAAGGCATAGATTACAGTAATGCTATTAGCTTTTTTTCAAAATGTGAAATTTATTAATTCAAGCGGACATATACGGAAAGTTTCATTTTGCGATACCTTGTTTGTTTCAGCATGACAATTTTAGCGACATAGTGTCACGGAAATATGAATTCTTTCTTTGGAAGAGAAATTCGCGTTAAGTGAGTGTATGGTCAGATTTATTTTGTTCCACGCAGTTTGGAAAAATATCCTATTAATCACTTTTCCCGGAAAACCCTGCAATTATACAAGGGAAGTTTAAGTGGTGTTACAAGGATTACGAAGAGTGACATTATACAAAATTATCATGGCAGTTGGTATAGCTGTTGTCAATTAATTAATTGATTGCATAAGTTACGTACGTAAATTAAACTGTGACGTGGCGATTTTTTTTTTAATTACCAAATTTTCAGATGAATCACCTGACGTTGTCGTATGATTGCGCGGTCACCACCGTAAGCATCTATCGAACTGTTGTTGTCCTTGTTATAGTAGTTGTTGTTATCATTATTGATTTTGTCAAGCGAACATTATTACAGCCGCCTTCTCAATTTCCTTTAATTTTTAGGTTTCATTAAATTTTTGTAATAGAAGAAAGAGCTTTTTAAATTTGGGAAGCACGTTTTGAATTGGAAAAAAATTTTTAAATTTCGACTGAAAAATACTTTTTAAAAGGGAAACAAAGACTTGTTGTGATGTTTTCTTCTTCCTTATTATTTGTTTATACCTGCTAGCCGTAGGATATTCTTTTAAAAAAGAAACGATGAAATTGTGCACACTCATGAAAATGTTTCTCTATCACTTACGTAAAAATGAACCATTCATGCATGGGTAAACGAAGAAAATAAACAAAAAGAGCTTTCAGAAGCAAAGGACGCTTTCTAAATTGACGGCCGGCTATGTTTGTTGTTGGTATCATAACTCGAGGTGGAAACTAAGAAAAATGCAGCATATAAGGTGTATGTATGAAAGCGTTTTCTTCCCTTTTTCCTTTATTTCTGTTGTCACCATGACAGCGTTTTGGTCATGTGCTGTCTGTATTAATGTGTGGTTATTTTTCTTTCTTTTTCGTTGAACCTTAACCTAGCAAACTATATGAGTTATGTGAAAGGAGAGGAAAATATTAGATGAGGCCGTATTCGGCATGTGACCGTGTTGTCATCGAATTTGGCAACAGGCGGTACACAAACAACTGGAAAATCAGGGAATGCGGTAGTTGGTGGGACACTTGATTAGATTAGCATTAGAAAAACTGAAATGAATCTTGCTTTTTTTCTTGTACCGCTTAACTTAAATAGGAATAGTGGTAAATTATCCAAGTGAATCTCTTGCACATTTTTTTTCGGAGAAGGTTCTGCGTACTGATCTTACTGCTCACATTAACTTTTATGATTTTTCAAGCTCTAAATTTCTATATTTGGCAAATTCTAACTTTGATATGTCAGGAACCAGAGTTTTAAATATTAAAATATCACGAAGTGCTAGTTTCAGACATTAAAATACCATGAGTTGTTCTGGAATTGCTCGAATTACTCTTCCAAAAATTGTTTGATAGAGAGTAAAGTGAAAGCTGAGTTTTGTGTTAGGCATTTTGATCAGTAGGATAAGGTATGATTAGAGTAACGTATCTAGTCAGCGAGTACAATCAGTCGGATTTGGCCAGTTTGGTTCATTTCGTTTGTTTCATACCGGCGTTGTGAATTGCTTCTCTCAGTTCGTATAGTTCATATTACTGAATTGTCCTTAGTAACTAAATTTGTTTATCAGATGGCTGTAATAATGGATGCAGAAAATACCACCGCAGAAATGCAGTTGGATACTTCCGGGGAAATGAATGATACAGCAAAAACTGTTGCTTGCGAGATTGATGACAGCAGCGAAAAGCGGAAAATCAAGAAGAAGCATAAACATAAACACAAGCATAATGATTCTAGTCATGACGAGGAATACAAAAAGCATCATCATAAGAAAAAGAAAGATAAAAAAGTTTGTTTTCTCCGAACTTCGGAATTTTAATTCTCAGATATTTTGAGACTTCAGATTTATGAAGTAAATTTCTCTAGGGATGTTAAATTTAGCAGATTGAAGCTTTTTTAAACAAGCATTTCAGTCTAATATTAAAAACTTGAGTATTCGGTGGAGCGGAATTTTTAGTTTTTTTCCAGCAATTCTGGAGTTTCGCAATTTATTTGGAGAGTTTTGCGGATGAAATCATTGCAGATAAAGAAACATAAGAAAAGTAAGAAAAAAAAGAAAACAAATGGTGATAAAGGATTTAGTGATGTTGAACTCGATGATCTGGAAAAACGGAAGGAAGTATTGGAGAAAAGGCTACAGAAAGAGGATGAAAAGAAAAATAAAGGTTATAGGCTTATTGGATTTCATTTATGATTATCTAACACATCTTTTGATTGCGTTTTCTGAAAAGAGTTTCTGATGGTATTAGTTTCTTTTAGTTCATGATTGGTTTAGCTGTAAGTGATTGCTGTTGTTTAAATGTTCGAAGGAATCCAGCATACAATTTTATTTTTTGGAAAAATAATTTTGTAAGGATTTATTCTGATCTTTAGTTTGATTTACATTAATGTATAAACTCATGCCTCTTCAAAGGAAATGATAGCTAAATCGGTGTTTTATATTCATAATCCGTTTATTCATAATCGAAATGTGTCGCTGTTTCAGGTAATTCAGAGGAGCATACCGGTAAAATGTCAGAAGCTGACAGCGATAGTTCACCTTCTTTCGGCAGAAGAGAAAGTAAGCACGATGAAACCAAACAAATATCTTCAAAAAATGAAGTACTATCTACTAGAAATGGAACTGAGAAAGTAGATGACGATGCTGGAGTAAGTGAAAAGTTGGTAAAGAAAGTTTCGACTAAAAATGGGGCTGAAAAAACAGATGACGGAGCCACAGCAGGTGAAAAGTTAGCAAAGAAGGTAAGTCCATCACCGGAAAGAGGACGAAAACGTGCACATTCACGAGAATATCTGAAACATTCTGAACAGTATGAATTGGCAAAAAGAAGGAGGAAAGAGATTGAAGAAATTCTGAAGAATGATGAACAAAATAAGGAGGATAAGGTGGAAGCCGAAAAAGCGCTGGAAGAGAAGATGAATTCGAAAAATGAGAAAAGAGGAATACAAGAATTCAACAAAGATGAGAAGATAGAGCTCGAAGGAGGAAAAAGGAAAGCTGTTGAGAATAATGAAAGCACTAAAAAAGCTGATAATGAAGAGCATCACTTGCCTGAGCGTAAAAATGACCGAGAGAGGCGAAAAGAGAATGAATTAAGTTCGAAGAAACGAACTGATGTAGATCGATCAAGCGACATTAGACGGCGCAGTCGTTCTATTGAGAAACGGCGTGGGTATAATGAAAGAACAGAGGAACGGCGGTCGGAATCTCGGGATCGTAGAGCTCGCCGTAGTATTTCAAGGTCAAAAGATGATAAACGTAGAAGTAGCTCGAGATCAGGTCGCATGGGACGTGAGCGAGATCGCAATCGTGAGAGACGTTTGGACAGACGATCCCGTTCAGTGGGACGGCGTATTCCACGTTCCAGATCTCGGTGAGTCTTTTATAAAGAGAATTTTGCGCAGCGATTGGAGATAGATCTTTACTGGTGTTAAATCTTTGGCATTTTGTTGCAGGTTTCTTTGTATCAAAATTTTCCAGCATCACTGATGTTTTTGCCGTTGCAGATCTAAGGAACGATTGCGAAGGGACGGTTCGAGATCTAGGGATCGAGCTGGACGTGAAAGAAGTAGATCACGCGATCATTTTCGTCGAAGCAGATCTAGAGATCGCCCCCGTCGGAGCAGATCTCGAGATCGTTCTCGTCCTGAACTGAAACGCCGTAAGGAGTCATCTCGTGAGCGAGAAAGACATGAACGAGTTAGATCGAGGGATCGACATAGTGACAAGGTGAAAAATGAACCTCGACGAGATTCGAATAGCAAAAATCAAAGTCGACGTGATGATGCTCCAAAGTCTGAAACCAAACTTCAGAAGTAAGTTTGCAAGGAATAGTTTTTCCTGCACTATGAATTTATCATCTTGTTAAGCTCTCTTAAATATCGAGTTATGAGAATTTTTCCATAAATTCCGAAGTCGCTAATTATTTGACACTAGCCAAAATTGACTATTTTTCAGAGACCAGAAAAGAGAGCACTATCGTCGGGAAGATAGTGTTAGTTCGATTGAATGGGAAGATCCTGATGAAAAGGAAGAAAAAAAAATTCAAGAGCTTCGAAAACGTCGTGAGCAAATTATTAAAAATATTGAAAAGCAGAATGATGAAAAGGAACGCCCAAGGTGAAATTTTATTGGTATTTTCATTTTAGCAAAAAAATTAAGAAATTATTGCATTCTTTGTCCATTAAAAAAAAGTTGTGATTATGGTTTTTTTTTTTTAGAGGAAAAACTGATATCGATGAGATAGCACTGGATCAAGATAATCGCGAAAAAACAGATTTGAAAGCAGATAGTATTAAACAAGAAAGGAATTTTGAGAAATCTGCAGATGACGAAACATCAAGCCAATCGGCTGATGAACAGTTACTGCGGGAAGCTGAGCAGGAACTTCAAAAAAAGCATGACAGTGATGTATCTTGCAGCAGTAGCCCGATTTCACCGGCTGGCGAGGATACACCTGCAGATTTCTATGGTGATTTGAAAGAGAAAATGGTTCATATCAAGGTTTGTAGTTTTATCTTTAAAGTGTTGAAATTTAGTCCGATTTTAGCCAATATTTTTCTTTACTAAATTATTTTATTAACTTGATTTTATATAGGGCCAAGAAGAATCTGCTGTTGATCGTGCATTGCGGAAAGCAGTAGAAGAAGAAGCGGAAGAACTACGAAGGCAGCGAGGAGAAGACACCAAACAAGAGGTGGAGAATAAAATAGCTGAAGACTGCACTACTACTACATTTGATATGTTTGCAACAGATGCCGAACTTCCTCCTGAGGTCATTCTTTCGAATTCTTCTTGTTATGCTTTGAATAAAAAATTTACAGGAATTTTTAAGAGCAATGATTTTATATAGGACCAAATGTTGAATTTAGTCCAATTTTAGCTAGTATTTTTCTTTACTAAATTATTTTATTCTCTTCAATGCTTCTTTGAAAGTTTCAAAATCCCTCACTGTATATTTTAGATATTGAACAAAGCTGCAATAATAGTTTCTGGACAAGAACCAGCCAATGCTTCTTTGAAGGATAACTGGGATGATACCGATGGTTATTATAGTCAGTTTTTTTCCTAAGCTTTTTCAGTCAAATTCATTTTAACTGCAGTTTTTTCAATGACAAGACTACTAACTTAGTTGTTACGTTAGTTGAACGAAACAATTTGATGTCTAGTGCTGTAAACTTCTTTTCGTGATCGGTGTAGGACTGTATCAAGCCGAAAAATACCTATTCCACTATACTCACAAATATATCCTCTAAATGATATGGTTCCATTTTTTCACCGTATTTGTCTGATCGGATAGTTTGAGTGAGCTTCATCGAAGAATTTTGTATTCTACAGGGATTCGTATTGGGGAGATGCTTGATAGTCGGTATCGCGTATACGGCTATACTGGTGCAGGAGTATTTGGTAATGTTGTGCGCGCTACGGATGCAGCACGAAGTAATACACATGTAGCGGTGAAGATTATCCGCAACAACGAAGTGATGTAAGTTTTACTTACGTTAGGGACGATCCGCATGGCAAAAAGTTCTTTTCATTTTTCTCATTCCAGTTTGTTTTCCAGTGTTATATATTAAATAGTTTATTCAAGCTTTCACTTTTTTAGAAGAAATTTTAACTAGTGACACTTCAGTTTCAGTTCTCAGGTACTATAAAACTAAGCTGATCCTGTTAGTAAGTGAACTGAGCTCCTTTATCCCAGAATTATTTTAACGACTAATGCATTACCGATTGCAGAATTAACCAGACATTTTAAAACCTTACGGCACAGTTAGAAATATGCTTTGCGGAGCGTCCCAACATGTATTATTTTTTAATCGGCTACTGATTTTTCTTATTTTGAGTACAACATTTTAATTTATTTAGTTAATTGTAGAATCGATGTGCTGTGATTTGTTACAGCCAAGCTGTGATGCTGCAGTGACGAATTTCCTCCGGCCGCCATTACCCACCACTACCACTACCATTACCACCACACACATATATAACAATGAATCCTCTTATTTGGTACATTCATCTCAAATAGCCATTAGCCAGTTTGTTTGATAGCTTCCATAGTTTACATTAATGAGGCTGATCCGAAGGCTTATAGATAAATTGAAATTGAAGTCTGAATTGATTTGATGACACTTGAAATTGTCCAAAGTCCTCTTCGCCTCTGTCACAAAATACACGAACTTTACTTACTTCGTCATCTTAGAGTTATTCTTCAAACGCAGTAACCAGTAGCATTTAAAATGATTCATCACTGAAAATAGTGCGATTAAAAAATTGTTGCCTAGAATTAAAAGCAAATTTCAGGCGAAAGACGGGTATGAAGGAACTGGATATTTTAAAGAAATTAAATGAAGCAGATCGAGATGACCGATATCACTGCCTTCAGCTTTATCGGCATTTCTATCATCATCAACATCTCTGTTTGGTTTTCGAATCCCTCAGGTACTGAATTGCTCATAGTTTTTATACTACTTGGTCTTTCATACCTTCCAGTTTATCTTATTTTCTGTTATTACGTTTTTTTCACTGGAAATTTACTGGTAGAAATATTGTGAAAAGTTTTTTTTCCAGTATGAATCTTCGCGAACTACTAAAAAAATATGGGAATAGTGTTGGTTTGCACATGAAAGCAGTACGCAGTTATACGCAGCAACTTCTGATGGCTCTTAGGTTACTCAAAAAATGCAATATTCTTCATGCAGATATCAAGCCGGATAACATTCTTGTAAGTGAAAGGATGAAATGATTATACGCTCTGTTCAAATGTTCAATTACTTCATGCTACGTGTTAATTTTTTATATTCTTTATAAATTTTTATATTCTTAGTAATGGTACTAATAGATTTTTCAGGATTTACTTGTTTGCAATTTCCAGATTTCTACGCATAAATTCAGAAAATATTCTGTGTTTTAAGATTTATAAAAATTTTTCTTTAGGTAAATGACACGAAGATGACTCTAAAATTATGTGATTTTGGCTCTGGTTGTCATGTTGCTGATGCGGAAGTGGCACCATATCTTGTATCTCGTTTTTACCGTGCTCCAGAAATAAGTAAGTTATTGTTGTAATAATTTGAGTTTAAACTTCCAAAACTTGTTTTTGTTTTGTTCAAACTTGATTTTGGGTTTATGTATTAACACTGGATTTTATTGCAGTGCTCGGATTACCATACGATTTTGGCATCGATTTATGGTCGGTAGCTGTCACACTTTATGAAGTGTACACAGGGAAAATTATGTTCGCAGGGAAATCAAATAATCAAATGTTGAAATTTATGATGGATTTAAAAGGGAAATTCCCAAATAAAATGGTGCGGAAGGCACAATTCAAAGATCAACATTTTGATCAGAATTGTAACTTCCTGTACCATGAAATCGACAAAGTGACACAACGTGATAAAGTTTGTTTTTCTTTATATAAGGCTTTTTTTGTAATGCCTGCATTAGTTAATCATTTTTTTCTTGAAGCACCTCACCTTGCCAGGCTCTAAACTATTTCTATATTTTTGTCTCTACTAGTCCAAATTTCTTCAGATTACTTCTCTTATTTTGTGATCATACGTTCCACTGAATTTAATACATTGATTGTTATTAGTTGGAGCATGTTAGTCGTGGACATTCTAACTGACAGTGTAATAATCGATTAGTAGTTATTTATTTGCAGATAACTACTTTATCTGTTGTGAAGATCACTCGAAATTTAGAAAGTGAATTGTTGGGTGATCAGGAACTTGACAAGGTAAATGAATTCGATATTTTGGTTCTTGATGTTTTTCCAATCATTGCATCTAAATTCTACATGAATCACAAAAGATTTTTTTAGGAAGGTATGCGGAAACTTGAGCAGTTCCGCTCTTTGTTGGATGCTATGGTAATACTGGATAATTCGAAGCGTATAACGTGCGGTGAAGCACTTAAACATCCATTTGTTGTAGAAAAATGAATTTGAATGTTGAATCATTTATGGCATTTTAGAATTTCAATTTATTTTTCATGTTATGTTTTTTATACGCGTAAGCGATTAATTCTAAAGCATCATAGTTATTTTTAATATTCATTCCAAAATGCCGTTTTCCTTGTTTTGCTTTCGACTCGCTGATTGCATCGACACATTTCGAATTTCAAAAACAGCCAAACTTTAATGCATAAAAGAGAGCGGTGGAATGTGTCAGTGCTAGCTCCAATTTATTTATACCTCACGTAATGAATGAAAGTTTTAGGTGTCGTCCTGTTGGTCAAATAGTCACCGCTTTATTTTTTAAATGCATTTGCTGATCGAATAAGGCAAAAGTTCAATAACAAAGTTAGAGAATACGCAGCACTTTTCAAATGCATATTTCATCTAAACAAACTGCCGCTTCTCCATTTCTTTATTTGTTCAGCAAATATATTTTGTATTTCAAATTGGATTTATTCCCTTGAAAAACTATTAAACATATTACTCCTAATGTCTTATTTACTTAGATAAAATAACCACTACAGGACAGTTTTTGCTGCTGGAGATAGAAAAGTATGAAGTTTCATGACCCTAACAAAGTTTCCATAACTTAAGTGGTAGAGCAGGAAAGATTTAAACCCCTTTGTCGTGATATTGTCCTGTACGCAGAGTGGAAGCGTTCATTCTTCGAAAGTCTTATGTACACCTTGAAGCCCATAACTTCACATGTTTGTTTGATTCATTTATTTTGTTTCAAAGTATTATGATTTTACTGCATGAGTTGTATTTCACAAGTTTGTACTAATGATGTTGAGAAATTCGTTTTGTAACGGTGATCTTCTAACCAAATGAAATATAACAAATTACGAAATTTACTTTTCCAAGGAAGAAGGGAAGAAGTTGTACGTAGCGTTTGAATAATAAGATTGTCATTCAGAAAATCTTTCTCATATAAAAGGTAAAGTGAAAAAAATGAATCAGGCACTGCTATATACTACTGTTTGGGGAAAAATATATCCTTTTGGAATCTTCATTTCATATTTTGTGCAGTTGTTAAATGGATTTTATGTTGTTTGCCTTAATTGTATAATAAAATATGGGATCTTGCAATTTCGTACCAAAATTCATGGGTGAATTTTTCCTTCGGGAATCATGTAGAGTGCAATTCTTTCGTCAGACATGTGTTCTCAAGAACATATGAAAACTATCATAGATTGATGACAAGAACCAGATAGTTGTAATCACCAACGACCTTTACAACTAAGAAGGGCAACCGGTTTAAGAGCGGGCTGGCATCATAAAGATTCAAATCCGTGTACTGTCGCAGAAAGGTTGGGGATTCGATTTTATTACAGTCATTTACAAAAGATAAATTCATATAAAAAAGCTATCAAACTACGCGTAAGACTTATGAGGAATATACAAGTGTCTGGAGAAGTCGGTATCTATGTTACCAGATGATTAGTATTGTGATCCTTGCCCTTAGTGAAATGGGTGTTGACGAAACGTTGTCCACAATAACCACACGCATGATTGCCAGGTTTATCCTAAAAACACATTGTTTACTATTTGTACTCTGCTCAAACAAATTTGCCTTTTAAAAAAAATTAAAAAGTCTACTTGCTTTAACAATATTTTGCGATACTGAATAAATTCAACCCTAACATATATTCTAAAATCAAAACAATCAGAAGTATTAATTACTACCTCTATTACATGGTACTTGTCGAACAGTCAATTACACCTCTCATGTTTAAATTGCTAACATATTGACTTAAACTTTATTAGAATTAAAGAATTTGAAATCTGTCTGAAACTAAAGCTATGTTTCTGTTTAATACTGCAGTATGTTGAAATAATGCGAGGAAGCAAATTCACTGAAACAATTCTGAAACTTTAAATATTTTCTTCATTTACAGTGCTTAGATAGAGCTTAATACATATCAAAAAGGATATCACGCACTATTTATGATCTTCCCGCATAGTATAGCATTATATGCATAAAGCATACCGAAGACATAAAGGTCACTAACCAGTTTAATATATACACGTGGATGACCTAATGCAGAATGACCACCATCACAGTAAACGACACGTTGGTCTGTTTCAGTTGGTGGGACTTCTGCGATCAATTTTTGTGCAATATTTGGATTTACTTGTTTCGGCATTATGGTAAATCTTACATTTCGATGATCGGCTTGATCCCATGCCTGTTAATACAATATATACTGAAGGAATGCAAAAGTTTAAAAGTCATGCGATAAAAGCCAAAGATGTTCGATTACTATATTTATCATTTTTGTCTATTTGTCCTTTCCCAAACAATATATTTTCATGGATTACTGATGCCAAACCATCTCTTCACTGCAACAAACTAATTGGTGAGCTTGAACCGGAGAAGTTATACCGAAAAAAGTCATCCAGTACTTCCTTCCTCTAGAAATTATTTTTAAAACTGTTTGCGAAAGGTAAGACATTTTTAATACAGATCTGAAATCAACGAAATATCAATGTACTCTGTAAAGATGGTTCGTACTTCGAATTAAATGCTAACCTGGCCAGTATGTGTGACTTTATCGTAAACAGCATTTGCTGGTGTCACATCTTTTGGGGCTAAAACGTCCGATTTAGTGCAATATGCTTGCGCCAACAAATGTGATAATCTCCGGCTAGCTATTGTCATCCAAACAATTGTACCTAAAATTGACAAAAACGCTAATTACGTCCCTAGACACACGCAATGAGGAAGAAATGTAAGGGATGATCGAAATGTATACGTAAATGCGAACCGCTACCGTCAATCGACGAAATCGACAAACGTGGGTGGGTAATGCAAATTTCTTGTCCAACACAACTAATAAAATTGTTTTCAATCTTCATCGTACTATTTGTAGCATTTATGATCTCATGTTTTGGCATGAAGCAAATTTTTCAAAAACAGAATCTACCGTTTCAGGAATGCCGGAATACGAATGATCATAAAATTAGTAATGAATTAACTGAACTTCAATAATCAATTATACATTTCATGCTTTAATATTTTGTTAAAAGCTGTCATAATTTAAAAATTTAATCAATATTTCTAGGAAGTTGAAGAACATATATATATATATATATATATCGAAAAATAAAAATATGCTGTGGAATTTGTATTATTTAATATTCAACAATGAATGAATGCTGCTGCTGTTGCTGCCACACTATTATACCATTCAATGAAATTAACATTTTTAATGGAAATTTTAAATTTATTTCTTTCACGATAACTTCGAGTAAACGAAGGAGAGAAGTTGAAATACCATTAGAGATATCGGAAGATTGGTATTCATCTCACCTTTGTTTACATACCTATCGATAGATGGTATATATATATATGTGCGTGTGCGCGTGTGTATGTGAGAGTGAGTGTGTGTATGGGAAAACTAGTTTTATGCTTTTTGGGTGGTAGCTATTATTCCGTTCTTTTCCTATATCTATTGAATAACATAAAAAATTAACGATAGTTTCAATGAAGCTTACATGATTGAAAGAAGTGATAATTCTAACTGATACTTTCGATTAATACTTATATGACTGGCACTTCTACTGATACTGATAGATACTTCTGATTGATGCTTAAATGGCTGATAATTCTGACTGATATTGACTGATACTACTGATTGATACTAATATGATTGATATCAATGAAATTTGAAAAAAAAAAGAATGTCGATCAATAAGTCTTTTGAATATTACAATTATACTAATAGAAGTGAAATGATCTTCTAACCAAATTTGCTTCAAATATTTAAAGTGAATACTTGAGTATTTGCAAATAGATCAGGATAAGTAACAGAGTATTAGTAAATGGATAGGGAATAATAGATTCTAGGTTATCAATATATTGTTGCTTCAAATAATTAAAGTGAATACTTTAGTATTAACAAATAGATCAGAATAAGTAACAGAGTATTAGTAAATGGATAGGGAATAATAGATTCTAGGTTATCAATATATCGGTCGGGATAAATATCAGATTATCCGTAAACAGATTAGAGCAGCTGTTAAGTGCAATTAATTATAGAGTTAGGAAAATTTATTGAAAATTATTATTTTTATAATTTTTATTTTTAGGGGACAAAAAAATTTTCCTTTTCTATCTACTATTTGATTAAAAGCTGCTCAAATAAACATCGATTAATTTATCTCATTGTCTTAATAATTAGAATTATTAATATCTGTATATTTGAATTTAATATATTTACACCTACTCTATCTACCTTGAAATGAACATCATCCCTTCATCTATCCTATCAGGATAGAACGATACATCCTAAATTAGTTTCCTTTCAATTTTTATTCTTTCTTAAGATAAAGATATCAATGATTTCCAATATACATATACATTATATACATATATATATATTTGATTATATATATTTGATTAAATATATATTTATAAATTTTATTTCTTTGTAATAATAAATCTTAATTAGAATTATTTTTTCTTTCAGACTAAATGAATTAATTAGAACAAAATTTAAAAATAATTAATTTTTGATTTGAAAATTCGAAAATGAATGAAATGATTAAATATGAATTTTTGTAATTATTTTTTATTTTTTAATTTTACTTTCATTTTTTTGTTTTTCATAGCATTTCAGAATTAAAATAATAAAACTAAAAATAATTGTTAGCCAATATTTTCGTAATTTAAGCAATTTTCATTGTTTCATCGAATAGCTGATTACTTTCTTCTTAATGGAACCTTTATTAATTTATTATAATATAAATAAAATTATAATTTAAAATGTTTAAATTTAATTCTACAGAAGAAGAAGCATTCCGAATTTTTTCTACTTCTTTTTCCGTTGTAATCTATCATTTGCTAATTTTGAATCTAAAGTTTTGCAAAAGTTTTAGAGCGCTATAATTTGAAACAAACCAAACTACTTGAAATGATATATGTCTACCTGAAGTCCTATGAAAAATAATTCCCGTCTTATGCAAGAAGAAAACTTATAAAT